TGCTGTGCTTTAACCCGCTGCGCCACCAGGGAGGGCCTAATGTTACTTTTTAAAAGGAGACTTAAAAGTTCTTAAATTATGTATATGGAAATTATATATTGCCTGTATAATTAAACAGTGTGTATATATATGACCTGTATAAAGTACTAAAAAGTAGTAAAAGGCAGTTTATAACACTTTACTTCTACACCTCCATCCTATAAAAATATCAGTTGATAACTTGAAGCACTCCTCCCACTAGGTACCATCATTTACCATATGTCTTCTACCTTCTCCCTTTACATTAATTCAAACTTATAATCATCATAGAATTTTCAATCCAATACAAGAGCAAAACAAAATCTGGGATTTGCAGATCAGTAATAATAAGAAAGGACAACAAAAAAGTAAAACAGAAAAGACTGTAATTTATCATTACTGTTATTTTGACAAATCTTTACCCACAAGTAGCATTCTAAGTTACAAATAACCAATATAGAATAGAGAGAGAGAGAACATACAGAATAATATATTCTAAAGTGTATTAAAATGTTGAAGGTTTCCTGAAGAGTCAGCAAGGGACTTACACGCAGGAAGCCCTTCCCTCCTCTAGCTAGGCTGTCTCCAAAATCTTTAGGCTGTCGACCCATCTCTTCTCTTCTTTTTTGCTGATATTCCTTGTCCATTGTAATTGCTGCCAAACCTTTTCCGACAGAACCAGTGATTCTAGATACAACTCCTGCTGCACCACCTGTAAAAAGGCCCAGGAAAGTAAGTCATATTGTTTCCCTAAAAACCATTACCACAATAAACACTACATGACTGTTCTAAACTACCAGGTGATTAAAATTTTGAGTCATACATGAAAGTGCAGAAATTTATTTTTCCCATTTTTCAATTATCAAAGAAAGAACAGAACTATTTAAAATATTTTAATACTGAAAAATAAATCTAAAAATATTCAAAAATTATTTTAATACTACAGAACATGTCAATGTTATTTTTCACTTAAGGATAAGGGAGCATGTCTTTTAAAAGGGGTTATTAGAAAAATGATCTCTTTTATTAAGCATAACTGTTTTACACAATGTGTTTTATAACTAATATATATTATAGTACTATCTCTATAACATATATAAAACTACATTTAGTATAGACATTATATACTATATATGCACATGCATAGAGATATATACACAAATATATGATACTCACCTACTGTGTGTCCAAAGAGACTTCTTACCCCAATCACTAAACCCTCAGCAAATTCTTCAGGGCCTTGAACAGCACCCTGACAAAAATCATTTGATAATTAAAATTGAAATAAGAATTTTAATCTAGTGTTTAAGAGTTTCCAAGAATATACAGAATCTATGATTCATAAACATGGTGATGATGAGTTAAGAAGACAAAGAGCTTTTCAACCTTTAACCCAAACAGTGGTGGAACATCTAATGTAATGGAAGATACTTTAAACCCGTACGATCTCAGCAAATCCTTTAAGGTGACAAAAACTGAATAGTGTCAATTACAAACTTAAGTTGGTCTCCCAGTACCAATTTTACCTCATTGGTAAGACTAAGCCACATTGCTCCAGCTCTCTCCCATTTATTTTTTCTGCCTGATCATTATTAGATCTTTCCTGCTTTGCATTCCTGGATCCTTTAAATGGAGGTGAGCAGATTAGAGGAGAGCTTAAACATGAAACAAAGCCAGTATATTTTTAAAAGTTTTATTTAATTATTCATACAGAACTGGAGCACAGGCCAGAGATGCAGGGGTGGTGAGAGGATTCACCAGAGACAGAGTGTGGAGCAGAACAGGCAGATCAATGAAGTACACGGCAGTGCTGTGTCCTAACCCGTTACGCCATCAAGGAGGGCCCCAAAGCCAGATTTTAAAGCCTCGTTAGTTCTTTCCATAGTGTGAGACAGTCTTGAAAGTATCTTTATCTACTACTCTTTCTTAAAATTTTACCAAGCTGTGCAAAATGTGGGCATGTTTTGCACCCAAATACTAAAAATCCTCAATTCTAAAACCCTCAATTCTTTAATGTCACCACTCGTACGTTCATATTTTTTTATTTGAATGTTATCCAGTTCCAAGATAGAATACAAATTAAATGTTATTTTATTTTTTTAAAGATTTATGCACCCAGAACTGGGGTATAGGCCAAAGGTTCAGGGCAATGAGAGGCTTCACCAAAGACAGAGTGGGGAGCAGAACAGACAGATCGACCAAAATAAACTGCTGAGGGGGGCAGCGGGCAAGACAGGAGAGGTGTACCTCGTCATGTGGATCACCTCCCTGGCAGGGAATTGAGCTCACATTGAAATGGCTGTGGCTCACTTGCAGTGCTGCGCCCTAACCGTGGAGCCACCAGGAAGGGCCCTAAATGTTATTTTAAAAACCAGAACATTCATTCATCTATGCCTGTACTTAAAATAAAAATCCATACCTGGAAGGGTTCATAGAATAAAGCTTCAACTCCTTCAGAGAGGCCTCTAATTAATCCAAATGGGTTTCCAAGCACATCTAAGCCCAGTACAAGGACATACATCTGTTTTAAGAACTAAAGGGAAAAGCATTAAGTCTTTACAAACTGTTATAAAGATGATACAACAAAAAAAAGGGGTACTGCTTAATGATGTCATTAAAGGAAAGTTATGGATAGTAACTACCACTATGTCTATTAATTGATCTTTCACTATGAGCCAGGCGTTATTCACGTACTTACACGGGATTTTCAAATTGAACAGAACTAGGTTTGAGGCACATTAAAAACTGCCACTAAGAAGTTATGTGACTTTAAACAAGTCACTTAGCCTGTATAAACCTAAGTCTTCTAAACAATGGCAAGGGTGTTCCACTGATCCTGCGTGGTTGAGTATGTATATTAAATAAATACATAATTCAGAAATTTTTAATTCTTTATTACTAGGCTATTATTATTACTATGGAGCTATCTGGGGGAATAATTAATGCCAAAAGAGAAAACAAATAAAAATATATCCTTACTTAAATTTATAACACCCATAAAACATACCTCAGGAGAAGGACCTTCTACAGTGGAGGTCCATGGGACAGCACTGCTACTCTGAGGCCCTGACAAGGATTAGGCTTCTGTGCATAAAACTCAAACCACAATGTAGATGAAGCATGAGGAGTAGCCTGGCCCAGAATTTCTCTCGAAATGCTACTAAACTACACTTGGAAGCCAATGTCATTGAAGAAATAAGTATAATGACTCCTAAATTGTGATTTCTTCCCCATGTCATTAATTTATAATTGCAAAAGAAAAAAAGAAATTGATGGAAACTTATGAAGGTGTAAAGGGGGAACAGAACTAAAGAAATGGAAATTAACCATTCAAGAAAAGTAATAGGCAATGAGATTAAGAATTGAATTAAAGAAGGTAAACATTATTGTACACTGTATATTCCACAAATATTTTTTTCTGCTATCTTATGAAATCCCTTATGCAGTACTATATAGGCAGTTACCTGTTCGCTGTAATGTGTAATAACACTCCACATGAGTTGATCTCTATTGTAAAATTGATACCGAATTTCATAATAAGCAAGTCTAGGAGAAAGAAAGATTCAAAGGTATGAAGATTACATTTGGGAAAAAAAGATATAAAATTTCTTAATTTTTAATGCACAACTAGATTTTCATATCTACCACATATAATTTATGTTTGTGATTGTAACACTATAGTAACAAAATTAATATGAAAGTAGTTTCTCATAAATATACAGAGTAAAAAGATTTTAAAAAATCAACCTTAATCCCTCCACATAGATATAAATATACAGAAATAAATCCCCTTCCACTCATTTAAATACTAAAAAAAGTACCTCTCTAGTACTAGTGGTGCACCTATTTTGAAATCATTAGTGATTTGTTTTAATTTGTATATATACTTACACATACCATAATGCTAAACATTTCAAATATTGACGAGCAACTGTAGCTTCCCTTTTAAAAATTATTTTATTATTATCCTCTTACAATTATGACATTAAAAATCTTTGGATTTTTCTTATCGATATAAGAGTATTATCGCTGCTACCTCATACTTGTCCCATTTCCCCAGTTCTTTGATTTTTTTTTTAAAGATTTATTTACTTATGCATACAGACATGGGGGACAGGCCAGAGATGCAGGGGCAGTGAGAGGCTTCACCAGAGACAGAGTGGAGAGCGGAACAGGTCGACTGACAAAGTACACTACTGAGGGGAGCAGCGGGCGGGTCGAGAGGTCTGCTGTGCCATGTGGGTCACCTCCTGGGTAGGCGGGTTTCAAACTCATGAGGACGTGGCTTTAGCTTCTTAGTGCTGTGCTTTAACCCGCTGTGCCTTAACCTGCTGTGCCACCAGGGAGGGCCCAGTTTTTTGATTTTTAACTAATTTTGTTCTGAAGTGTTTAATTTTATGTATTGTATTTTCCATTAGAATTCCCCCCATTGCTTTTAAATTTAGAAATTTGATGAAAATTAACTATTTTCTCTTAAACTTTTCTTTCTGAATTTTATATTTAATCATTCAATTCGTATGAAAACTGATAGTATACAAGTAAGGGGAAATGCTACAACTAAATTTCTCTCCCCAAGGAACTTATTTGTAGTAGACCACTGTTGACTATTCAAGTGAATATTTATTGAAGCTATAGGTCTCTGATACCATAAATTTTCTCACATAAATATAGCCAAGAGTTATATATACTCTGCCATAGATTATTGCTACATACACTTAAATATAATTGTGTTTTAAAACATGGTAAATTTTTAATATACTATGGAAATCAGTTTTATTCTAAATTTATGTGCTATTTTGCCAATAATATATATTTTAAATGCAACTCTCTATCATATCTTTATGAGTAAAACAAGCAGAACTAAAAAGCCTACTTAGAACTTTTCCAAACTTTTCAAATGTAAATAGTAAGAACTATCCTTTCTAAGCTAACATTCTAGTATGAGATAATTAATATCCAAAAACATAACATTGGTACAAGAGTTAAAATAATTCTTACTTAAATATGAGGTCATCTACATCAGTCAGAGTAGCACCTATGCTTTTCAATAGTAGGTTGACAGAATGAAGTGCAATCATTTCCTGTTTTTCTTTGTCAGACTCTTCACCTCCAGAACCCAAAGAAAGGCTCAAATGCAACTAGAAGAAAAATAATGTTCAATAAATAAGTTTTTAAAAAAGTATATAAATATAGGAACCAGTCCTCCAGATACAAATTTTCTGTTTCTCTCAGAATCCTAAAGAAAGCTTTGTTACTATACAGAATTAACACACTCATATCTAGTTCTTATATCTATTTTTTATAAAATGTAAATGGAGGGGAAGTGCACTGGAATATGGTTATGGCACACAGGTTAATTGGTGGTGGGAAGCCCATGGGAATTACAACTAAGATGGAAAAAGGAACAAAATGATGTAAAAATAAACTATTATATTATTTTTAAAGAAGTAAATTAGACTGCTCCAAAAGAAAGTTAAAATTTTATTCAAAGTGCATCAACAGTGTTTATATTCATTATGTTGGGGAACAAAACACTTAACTAAAATAGCATAACAAATTGAAATGATATTTGAAGTTATTAGTTTAATGATAATTAAATACATTTTAAGTAATTTAATAAACTTTATTAAAGAGTAAAATTAGGGAGAAAAATATATGTACTGACACACAGTAGTCTACTAGTCAAATAAAGGATAATCATATTAGTCCAATTAAGGTAAATAGCTTATTGTGAAAATTAGCAATAACAATTACGATATAATTTGAACAATAATAACAAGTAACAACAATATGATAATTAAAGCAACAACAGCAAGTTCCTAAATAAATTTTTTAAAGATTAATGAGGTTTTGGCTTTCACACACCCCTTCAACTCATTACCGAAACATGAGACTTTCAACTTCATTTTAGCTGCTTCTACTTTGTATAGAAGCAATAGGCATAGGCCAAAAGACAGTGGCAAAAGATAATCTGACATATGTATGTAAAGTAGATGACTTCTCCTTCCTAATTTTCTAGGTATTTTACTCAACCAATATAGAACTCAATAGAGTGAACTCTGAGTAAAATCAGGAAAAGCCTCATTGTTGGTTTTTTTTTTTTGATACTGACTTCTGACCATTTGCAGAGTCAGAGTGCTGGGATCAGAAAAGCTAAGCTTAGGTAGGCAAATACCTACCCTCTCCTTAGGACAGTCATCACAGAATAAGAAAATAACTGATTCTTGATCTTCATGGTGCAACTTCATGGCACAATTATATCACTGTGCCTGAAGACATATGTAGGTAATAGTCTTTAATGCCCCTGTTAAATTATAACCTCCATGAAGTTACTTTGTATCTCTTACTGCATCTTTGACAGTAGTAATTCAGTATTACTTACTGAAGGTATTGTTCAATCTCATAAGTAATTGATTTCCATGTAACAATGAAAAATAAATTGTGTTTATACACCACATAAAATATTATCAATTTTACCCTAACACTAATACATGAATTTAAAATAATAAGTGCATTTTATAAATTCACTCGTTTAGCTTTTGGATTGGTGAATACAATTGAAAATAATGTGCTGTAAACAGTTTTTGAGAATGTAATGGATCATCAATATTTTAAAGAGTTACTTAATTATAAATCTGGCCCATTACACAAGTTTAGGGTATTACGGTTGACAGCATCTGTGAGTTTACTAAGCAGTCACCTTCCCCCATAAAAGCTAAAAAGAACAACAAAAGGAGAAAATGAAATGGGTTCATAAAGTACAAAATCAGGCAAGTGAAAGGTATCCAATTTTCCACTCCCTTAGTCACAATCAGATTTTGGAAGGGTGAAAAACAGCACATCAACAGTGTAATACTACTTCAGCGTTTTCACATTCTGGTTAGGACACCCATTATAGCTTTCTGTTTAAACACTGATAGTAGTTACAAAGTGCAACCAAAACATTAAACGTTGGTGAGCACTTCTTTGCTTAATTAAGAAATGCTTTTGTCAGCTTCTCCCTTGAATAAAGGGGTTATTAATTCAAGACTAGAGAAACTGCTCTGGTGGTTTCTCTGTGAGAATTATGGTCGTACATATGTTAGAATTGTCTTTATTATTTCAATTAATCAAACAAAATTCCCGCCAAATATCTGATGTAACAAATTAAAATTAATGATTATATATACAGACCATCTAAAGTCCTACGCAATTCTGAATTTTTTTCTATTAAAATAGTAATTACAACAAACCTTAACAGGAGAAATATGAAAATGTTCAAAGAAACTAAGAATTGACATATCAGTCATTGAAGTCTCCATTAGTTCTGTGTTTAGAGCATCAATATCTTGCTGGATTAACTTTGTCTGAAAAAAATTAAATCAAGAAATTTATATTTTAATTTCTTTCTCTGTTACAATTAAAATGATTAATTTAATTTTTAATTTAAAAATTTCCCAAGAAATAAAAATTGTTACCCGTTTTTTTTCAGCTTCAGGGTCAGTTGTTGGGGTAAACAATACAATAATAGCACCTAGAAATCCTTGATCAACTTTTAAAGCCATTTCCTGAATGAGGACCATAAAATACCTAGGAAAAACATTTTATAAAGATGAAAAAGGGTATCTATCAAACCTTATAATTTTCAATGTTAAAACTCTGATTATGGTCAAAAGTTACAGTAATCTCTTAGTCCTTCATTTCTGAAGGACAGATATTATATTAACAAGACCAAGGTCTACTTAGAACAAGAATTTTTCATTAGAGTTAAGGTTTCACTAGAGTAATCGTGCTGTATTAACACTTAGCATTTAAAGTCCCAAATCCTACACCTACAGTTCACAGAATTCACAAACACAACCAGATGATGTAGCATGTATTACACAATTTATAAAGTCCATAGTACTTACTTTAAAGAACACGTCTCATAAATACATATATTTTATAATTCAGTATAAATGAAGTTACAAAGGAGAGAATGTGATAAAAACATATAAAGGCTTATTAAAGAAAGTTGCAAGAAAGAAGATTACTTGAAAAAAGTAGACTAGTATGTTTTGGTGGAAAATAAGTTTATATATGTCATTTTCAAAAGAGTACAATTTATTTTCAATGTACATACTCATTTTAAATTCCTTTAGCTAAGTAGGGGAGAATCTACTTACTTAAACTGTAGGACTTTACTATACTCATTAAATCTTGTGATGACACTCACATCAATGAAAGGTTTGGGTTCTAGGTGAAGAAAACAAATATTATCAATGCTTTATACTAGTTCAACACAAAGTACTTAACTTTAGAAATAATATATATCACAACCTAATCTTTGTTGGGTTTTGTTTTTTGCTTTTTTTTTCTTTTACCTGAATCCAAAGCAATAGATTTTGGAGGGGCCACTGGATGAAATACAACAGGGAACATTGTACCTGGTAACTGATTATCAACCTGGGAAAAAAGAAAATGAACTCAGCAGAATTTAAAATAATTAAATTTAGAAATATCAGTTTCAGAGACAATATTATAGAAGATATGGCTAATTTCATCATAATTAAGTGTATGTAGTACTACTAGATGTTTTACCTTAAATCTAAAATTGTTACATATCTCATCAAGGGGTTTTATATAAAGGAACATAGAAAATCCTCATTGCACAGCATGAATGCCATTAATAGAAATATTTCTACCTATAGGTCATCAGCGATTCAACTCTTTGTAAATAAAATGTTAGTGGATTAGATATGAAATTAGAGGAGAAGTAGAAAGTAGAGAAAATGTCATAAATAGTATTTCACAGCTAAAAGAAAAGTAAGGAAATAAGAAGGGAGCAAGCAGTCAAAATAACCTCCAATTACAAGTTCATTCTTATGTAGAATAATAAAAGAAATCTAATGTGGGGGAGTCCATGATAAATTCAAAGGAATTTTTTTTAAAAAAGATTTTTATTTCATTTATGCATACAAGAGCTGTTAGGGGGACAAGGGTGAGAAAGAGGATTCACCAAAGACAAAGTGGGGATAGAACAGGTAGACTGATGAAATACACTACTGAGGGGAGCAGTGGGCAAGACAGGAGTGAGTTGTCTGTCTGCCTGTGCCATGTGGGTCAGCTCCCTGGTTAGGGATCCAACTCATGCTGCAGTGGATGTCAATAGCTTCATAGTGCTGAGACGTAAGCTCTTGCACCAGCAGGGAGGTCCTTAAAGGGATGCTTTAAAATAACAATTTCAGTACAAGCAAACAGTCTCATTGTTTAATTAGCAAAATCAAATGGTCTCAATTATCAGACGATCTTTGAACTTCGATGGTCAATATGTTAAATTCACAGATAGTTAGGAAAAAGGAAATAAATATACAAACAAAAGGAAAGATACCAATTATAATGTATACTTAATCATACATGAAAAGAGAAAACTTTCATCTTTAAAATTCCCAAGATGGAAGGGTGCACTGGACTGTGGTGATGGCACACGGGTGAATTGGTGGTGGGAAGCCCATGGGGATTACAATCAAGATGGAAAAATGTACAAAATGAAGAATGATGTTAAAAAATAAAGATATATAAAAATAAATTAATTAAATTAAATTTTAAAAAAAGATTCCCAAGATGATTAAATATATCTACGGAATTCAGGATGACACTGTTACCTGAAGCCAATACAACCTGGCCCTCAAACTTCTCTGGTGTGGAGACTGCTTAAATTCAATTTGAATTCCTGATAAAAAATCTCGTTTTATAGGGCACTGAATAGGGAGGCGCATTTCCATTGGAACTTTATCAAAATTGACCTGGAAGAAATCATATGTGTTTGTGAAGTTCTTATACTAGTAATATGGCTACTCCATTTTAAATATTCATTTAAATTGAAAAGAAAATGTTTCTTAAACTTTACTACACCAAAAAAAGCTACCTTCAGGTAATTTAGATTAATTAGGTAATTGAAGATTTTTGAAGCAAAATGATCACTTCTCCAACAAAGTCATAAAGAAAATAATTAAGGAATTCTGCAATTATATAAACTGCTTAAAGAAAGTATGTTATCTTCATATTTTCTAGAAACCTCAATAGTAATGAATAATTTTACATAATTTACATAATTAATTCTTAAGCTTTGTTTTAACAAAACTGAACAATGAATAGTTAATAACCTCTGACATTAGTTAATAATGTCTGACATTAACTATACAGTTCTTTTTATGTTTGAGCACGGCCAACATTTATGAGGAAGAGGGTAAAGAACATATCTGATAAACAAAGCAAAGAGTAAACAAAACTGTTATGATGGAACCAAAGTGCACTAGTAATTGCAAGTCGGATTTCAGTTATCATCTTATAGCAATTTTAATTTCAACACTGTAAGATTTCATATAGATTACATCTTCATTTGTAGACATCTACCCATGTTTAATAATCATTCACATTTAATGAATTTAATTGAGCAATTTTCTTGTTTTTTCATCATTAAAATATATAACCTTACATAGCCTTATTTAGCAACATGTGTTGGTATCATTTAAAATATAAAAGATTCAATCTTAATTTCTCAAAAATATATTGAAAACAGAATCCATGAAATGATACCCTTACAAATAGAAGAAATTAAAAATATAGAAGAGAAACATTTTAAGCATGTTTCAGAGAATATAACTTAATATAATACTTCAATTGAAAGTGTAGTAATATTAGTCATACCAGTCTTACTGAAGAATTGATTTTTTTTAAAAAAAGACTTATTTATGCATATAGAATTGGGGTGCTGGCCAGAGGTACAGGGGTTGTGAGAGGATTCACCGGCAACAGAATGGAGAGCAGAACAAGAAGATTGACAAAGTACACTGCTGAGGGTAGCAGCGGGCGGGTCATGAGAGGTGTGCTACCCCATGTGGGTCACCTCTGGGGCTGGGGATCAAACTAGCACTGAAGATGCCACAGCACACTTGCAGTGCTGCACTTTAACCCACTGCACCACCGGGAAGGGGGAAAGGCCCAGAATTGATTTTTTAATAAGTTTTCTGTACAGTTTTACTTAAGCACTAAAGTTTTAGTGATTCACCATTCCCACCACCAACAAAATGCCTATAGAAAAGTCAATGAAGAATTAGTGCATACCTCAAAATTACTGTCTAGTTTAATCCAGCCACGGTCTTTTGAAACTTGATGTTTCTTATAGAATTGTTCCAATAAAATAATCTGCTTTTGACTGAAAGGTTTCCATTTCTGTTTTGGTTTCATCTCCCAAACAACACCAGAACTATAATAATTCATAAAGAAATTAAATTAAGAATACATGTTTAGGTTTGTGTAATTGTCATACAATTCCAAGTTACTGCACCAGTTAAACTCCTATGAATTTACACAAGATAATTTTAAACACCAAAAATACACCTGTTTTTGTTAGATTACACACAGTTGATTTGAACACTTTCCACATAATATTTATGACAAATAATATTCAATACATTGAAATAACATAGGCTTTAAACATTAAATTATACTTTCTGAATTTGCCCAACTAAGTCTTTTTCTGCTCCTCACTTATTTTACCCATCAATTTTAACAGATTTTAAAAGATTCTACTTCAGGTTATACTGAATTAGCATTGCTTCAACTGATTTTAAAATACACTATGTAGTTCTATGCAGACTATTCATGGAGGCTAATTCTTCAGTAATTTCAAACTCAGCATTGGCTTCTCAAATATACAACTACTGAGCAGTACTGGTAACATCTGTTGACTCATCAAGAGCAAAGGAAAAACAAAATCATTTGCCTTGTTCTTAATCAATGATTGAATGTTGTTCTGAATGTCCTCAATTCTTCAACTGTTCTCCCTAAAAGGCTAATTAATGGTCTTAAGTTAATTTTCTCTAGACACATTTCTTTAGCTGCTATAATCAGATATGATTCAATTAACTCACCCCTGGTAAAAGGTTTTCCTTCTTTGACTAATAAATGATTGACTCAGAAACTAACTTTGATAGCAACCCTACTTTAGAGTTCCTGTTTTTATGAAGAAATTCTGCTGTGATGAGCTATTTTATCCTAAGTTTTCCAATATTTCTGGTCACTGCTTTACTGTGAGTTGGGCATACTGTGACACATGCTTAGTTTAGGAATACTAACATATACTGTATTATTTTAGCTAAGATGAAATATCATTATAAAAAAATGCATTGACATTTCATGTGACAATTTTTCCTTATCAGAAAGACATTCAAAGTTTTCTTCTTGTTTTAACATTATGAGTACACAATAGTAATAAGAATAAAGTTATAGTGCAAAGATATGTGCAGTACTTAAACCCTTAAGTTACAACTATGTAATTAGATTTGTTGTACATTGAAGAGCAGCTGTCAACATTATGAAAAAATAAGTGAGGCTATGTTTTAATAAAATTTACTTAGGGGCAACAAACATTGAATTTGTATAATTTTCCGTTTTGTTTCCACAAAACATCTTTCATTAACAATTTATAAATGTAAAATATTTTATGGACCAAGGGTAGCACCAAAACAGGAAGCAAGCTACATTTGACTCAAGGATCATACCATGTTAACCCCTGATTAGAGAATACTGTTTGCATTGTAATACAATGCAAGTTCATGTCATTCTACTCTACACAGCTTCTTGATATTAGCCAGCAGCATTATTTACAAAGTTCTCACTATGAAAGTAACGAACAAATTTCTATTACAAATTATGATTCCAACACCAATTCATAATAAAAAGTCTTGGTGGCCCTCCCTGGTGGCGCAGCGGGTTAAAGCACAGCACTGAGAATCTAAAGCCGCTTCCGCATGAGTTCGATTCCTGCCTGCCCCGGAGGTGACCACATGGTGTGGCAGACCTCTCCTGACCCGCCCGCTGCTCCCCTCAGCAGTGTACTTCGTTGATCTGCCTGTTCTGCTCCCGACTCTGTCTCTGGTGAAGCCTCTCGCCGCCCCTGAGCCTCTGGTCTGTACCCCAGTTCTGTATGCACAAATAAATAAATCTAAAAAAAAAATTATTCTTAAAAAAAAAAAAAAAAGTCTTGGCAAAACAAGGAGAGGAATTTCCTCAACTTGATAAAGAACATCTTAATAAAAAAAACAACTCATAGTCAATATCATACTTAATGATATTGAAGAACAGAATGCTTTCTCACTAAGATAAGAAACAAAGTTGTCCACACTGACAACTCCTATGCAACATTACAGAAAAAAAAAAAATTTAGATACTACAGTAGGACAAGAAAATAAAAGGTACACAGGAAAGAAAAAATAAAACGGTCTTTGTTCTCAGATGGCTTAAGTGTTTATGCATAAAATCCCAAAGAGTCAACCAAGAAACTTCCATAACCAAAAAGTTTCAAGATACAGGTTAACATAAAAAGGTCCATTCCTTTCTTACATGAGCAACTGACAATGGGAATTTGAAAATAAAACCACAATAACATTTATATTAGTACCAAAGAAATGACATTCTTAGGTATAAGAAATTTGTACAAAGCCTACATGTGGAAAACTGTAAGTCTGAGGAAAGGTATTAAACATATTATATGAATAGAAACATCTCTGTACAGGATTATAAAGCCTCAACATTGTCATGATAGCAGTCCTTCCCAATCAAACTCATGACTTTCATTTTGTGGATACTGACAAATTGATTCTATATTCTATATAGAAAGATGAAAAACTCAAAAAGTCACCACAATATTGAAAGAGAAAGGAGAATGTTAGAGAACTTATAATATGGGATTTCATGATTACTATAAAAGCACAGAAACTAAAATAGTGCAGTATAGGGGGTAGAATAAACACCTAAGTAGAACAGAACTGAAAGTCTTGAAGTAGATCCAAGAAATATATTCAACTTATTTTTAAAAAAGCATAAAAGCAATTCAGTGGGGAAAAGGATAGTCGTTTCAACAAATGGTGATGGAGGGCCTCCCTGGGAGCACAGGATTTAAAGAGACAGTGCTATTAAGCTATCCCCAACTATTGCAACATGGGTTTGATCCCCCCACTGAAGAGCTAATCCACATAGTGCAGCAAACTTCTCCTGTTTTGCCTGCTGCTCCCTCCTCTCAGCAGTGTATTTCAATTGATCTGCCTGCTTTGTTCCCCACTCTCTCTGGGGATGAGCCTTCTCATCCCTTGCACTTCTGGCCTACACCCCAGTCCTTATATGCATAAATAAATAAATCTTTTTTATTAAAAAAAAAAAAAGGGTGAGGGAACAACCGACCATTCACTTGAAGAAAAAAAATGGATCATGATGAATAACAGCTTGTTTCTTTCACCAAAATTAATCCAAAATTTATTACAGACCTGAATATCAAATGTAAAACTAAGAAACTCATACAAGATAATATAGGAGAAAATCTAAGTGACTCTAGGCTTGACAATGACTTTTTAAAGATACAACATCAAAAATACAGCCCTAGGGAAAAAAAGCTGATGTTGAACTTCATTAAAGATCTCTGTTCTGGAAAGGATACTGTTCAAAGAAGGAAATAATAAGCTATAAATTGGGAGAAAATATTTGCAAAAGACATGTGGTAAGTGACTGCCATCCAAAATTAAAAAGAATTCTTGAAATTCAACAATGAGAGAAGGAACAAGCAAAAAATAAGAGAAATAGCTGAAGACTCATAAAGAATACATCCAGATGACAAATAGACATATGAAAAAATATTCAGTATTATACATATAACTGGGGAGAGAAGTTAAAGCAACAATGAGATACCACCAACACATACTAGAATGGGCAAAATATAGTACATCAATGCCAATGCAGACAACCATGTGGAGTGACTCACATTTATTCATAATGGGAATGCAAAATGAAGCTACCACTGTGAAAGAAAATTTGTCAGCTTTTTACAAAACCAAGCATACACTTATATCCAGCAATCACCCTCCCTTGATATTTACCCAACACTCTTATCTATACAAAGCTCTTATCTATACAAAATCCTGTACATGAATGTTCACAGCAACTTTATTCATAATTGCAAAGCATGGAAGAAACCAAGAGGTCCTCAGTGGGTGAATAGATAAACAATAGTATGTCCTGTGATGAATTATCTACTCAAAAATGAAAAAAAAAATTACGATCAAGTATTAAAACTGGTATAAGAAACATTTAAAAATATTTCCCAGTCAAAAAAGCCTATTTGAAAAGACCACATACTGTACAATTCTAATGACAATGACATTCTCCAAAAGGCTAATTTTGGATAAAGTAAAAAAATTAGTAGTTTCCAAGGGGTCAGGAAGGAAAGGACATATTAATAGGTAGGCCATAAGAGATTTTTAGGGTAGTGAAGCTATTCTGTATGATATTATAATGGTAAACACATGTCATTTTATTTAAGAGTAAAAACCTAGAGAATTAACACCACAAAGAGCCAACTCTAATACAAACAATAAAGTTTAGGTTGTTCTATTGTTTCAGCATTAATTCATCAATAGTAACAAGCATACCACACAATTTCAAGATGCTAATAAGGGAAAATAGGGGAAACTTGGGGAGTGATTTGGAACTTTGTATTTTATAGTTAATTTTGCTTTACAACTAAAACTGTTCAAATACAAGTCTATTTTCTTTTAAAGATTTATTTATTTTTGTATCCAGAACTGGAGTAGAGGCCAGAGGTGCAGGGGTGGTGAGAGGATTCACCAGAGACAGAGTGGGGAGCAGAACAGGCCGACTGTCGAAGTACACTGCACTCATGCTGAAGTGGCTTTGGCTTCTCAGTGCTATGCTTTAACCTGCTGCACCACCAGGGAGGGCCTGACAGATCTATTTTTTAAAATCACATATTTAATGGACTTATTTTTCCTCAGCACACATCCTTATTAAACATATAGTATATAGTATGTAAGAAAAAAATTAAGTTCTTCTAAATAAATTTTTATCTGTAATAAAAGGGCTAATTTGATAAAACATGATAGTACATATAATATTAAAGTAAAAAGTGATATTAAAAGAAAATTAGGTTTATATGATTAAAAATAACTTTGATACTTAGTTTAAAAAATACTGTATA